CTACCCCCTAGCTGTGCCCCTTCCTGGCTCTCTCCACCGATCTCGAGCAGCCCCTGTGCTTTCTCCTCTTTAGGTGTGTGTGGGGCAGGCATGGGCAGGAGCCCCAGGTGGGGAATTGTTGGGGCCTCAGTCTCTGGAGAAGGGACAGGGGCAGTGCCTCACTTGGCACAGGCTGGCACCTGCCGTTCTTTTCAGTCCACATCTGGTCCTCCTAGGAGGGGCCTCTCCCCAGTTCTGCATAAGATCTTGGCCATTTCTCCAGCCTTCCCTTTCCTCCTGGTCATGTTATCTCTACCTTTACCTCCCTTGCACACACACTTCTTCTGGACGTAGAGAGGGAGACAGAGGAGGAAGGTGGTCTGAGGTCTGCTCTCTCGGTCTCACTGGGGCTGAGACTTGTTTGCCCCAAGAGCCTATACTTTGAGCTGACCCTTAGAGGACAGATAGAATTTACCAGAGAAAGAGATGTTGCCACGGAGGTGGGGAGACACGAGGAGGAAGTGGCTGAAGCAGAGACAGTCCATTGAAGGCAGCGGAAGACATGCCTGAAGAGGTACTGACCAGTGGGGAGCCCTTTGCTGCTGCTGAGGGCAGTGGAGGAGCCGTGGGTGGATTTCACGTCTCCTTTAACACCCGCTGCCAGGTGCTGAGCTGGGCCACAGAAACGAATCTGATGTGAGCCCCTAGCCTGTGGGGCGGAGGGTCATAACACACCACCAGTGTACCATTGACTGTGAGCTGGGTACTCAGCCTGAATTACCTCATTTAATTCTCACAACAGCCCATAAGATAAATACTGTTAGTATCCCTGGTTTATCTGTAAGAAAACGGTAAGTTCCTTGCCCAAGGTCTCCACACAGTGAGTGACCAGAGGTAAAGTTGGATCCGGGCCCAAGGATCTTCTGTCTTAGTCAGCTCGGATTGCTATAACAAAATACGGCAGACTGTGTGGCTTATAAACAACAGAAATTTGTTTCTCACGGTTCTGTAAGCTGAGAAGTCCAGGATCATGGCACTGGCAGATTGGTGTTTGGTGAGGGCTTCCTGGTTAGACAGTCATCTTTTCATTATGTCCTCTTTTGGGAGAAGGGGCAAGGGATCTCTCTTGGACCTCTTTTATGAGGGCCTTAATACCATTCATGAGGGTTCCACTCTCATGACCTAATCACCGCCCAAAGGCTCCCACCTCCTAATACCATCATCTTGGGCATTAGGTGCTTAACATATGAATTTGGGGAGGCGGACACAAACGTTCAAAGCATAGCAGATCTTAACTCTATATTTTATCACCTCTCAAAGGTTAGAGGTCATTTCTACCTTGGGATGAAGGGGGTCAGGAAAGACATGAGGAAGGAAGAGATGCTGAGTCTTAAAAAACAAGTAGGCGTGGATCAGATGGATAGAGATGGGAAGGCCATTAGAGACAGAAGGAACAGCAACAGCAAAAGCATAGAGGCGTGAATTAGCAGGTGGGGACTTCAGAGGGGCTGAAACGGAAACTGGAATGGCAGGCAGGCCTTAGTGGCTAAAAAGCTCAGAGCTCATGTGGGCAATGGTGATGTGATCTGGTTTGTAAATAGAAAGATCATTGAGGCAGAGAGTGGAAAGTGGTCTCAGAGGCAGAGGTGGCCCATTCTAGGCACTCATTACATGTTTGTTGAGTAAATGAATGGAATTCAACAATTGTTATGTACCATTTATGTTCCAGTCACTCTACTGGGCTCTGCGGTATTTAGCAGTCAACAAGACAGACGCTGTAAATGACCAGTCATTATGATGGTCCAATTGAAAGATGATGAGACCTTAACTTCAGGTGGTAGCAGTGGGTTTGGGAGGAAGGGATGGATCTGTGGGATTCTAAGAAGATAGAATCAAAAGAACCAGTAGGACAGGATGGGCTGGAGAGATGAAGAATGTAAGGTCAATTTCCAGGTTCCTGGTTTGGAAGACTGGATGCACAGTAGAGGCTAGGGAACACAGGAGGAGGAGCAGGTCTGGGGAAACCAGACGCAATTTCAATGTCCAAGAACAGAGGATTGGTTATATAGATCATGATACATCCCTGTGACAAAACTCTTAGAAAACATAATTTTGATGTCTATGACATGCAGTTATATACATGTATCATTTAACCAAACCTCTATTGTCAACCTTTGGATTTTTTTTGGTTTTTCACTTTTATAAATAACACTGTAATAAACAGATTTTTACAAAGGTCTTCACCACTCTGATTACTTTTAGAAGAGAAATGTTGCAGTCCTGAGGTACAAACATCGTTGAGGCTTTTGACACATATTTTCAGATTGCTTTTTAGAAAGGCTATACCAAACTTTACTCCTCTGGCAGTGCAGAGAATTCTACCTCAGCATACACCACAAGCACTAAGATCTACAGATGCACACACACATACCTCTTGTAGAAGATAAAAAATAGTATCTTGTTATTTTAATTTGCATTTCTTTGTCACTGTTAAGTGTTTTCATGTTTATTAATCCTATTTCATGTTCTTTTCCCATTTTTAGGGGTGTCATTGATTTTTCATGAGTTTTTAAAATATGTATTTCTTATTATTTGCGGCAAAATTTTTCCCACTTTTTTGTTTCCCTCTTAATTTTGCTTATTATATTTTTGATGTACCAAAACACTTAAAAGTGTTTACAAAGTCAAATCTGTTTATCTTTTTATTTCTAACATTGCATTGATGTTTAGGAAGTTTAATGATAAAATATACATCTAAATTTTCTTTTAGTTTTACTTTTTTAGCATTTAGTTATTTTGTGTATGGTGTGAGGAGAGGAAGTAAATGGATCTTTTTTCTAAATAGCAAATTTTCATATATCACTTGCTGAGAAAATCCTCTTGTTCCCACTGATGGTGAAGCTTCCTTTATCATAACCCAAGCTTATATGTATACACACACACACAGAGTCATGTGCCGCATAACGTTTCAGTCGACAATGGCCCGCATATATGATGGTGGTCCCATAAGATTAGTACCACACAGCCTAGGTGTGTAGTAGGCTATATCATAGATGTGTGTAAGTACCTCTGTGATGTTCACACAACAACAGAATCGCCTAATGACGCATTTTTCAGAATGTATCCGCATGGGTAAGCAACGCATGACTGTATATTGATCTGCTTCTGGGCTATCTTGTTTCACTGATCTTTGTATTGATTCTTATATGTCTGCCACTGTTTTAGTCATTGAAAATTCATAATATACTCTAATATCTAATTAAATTTGGGGGACTGTTTTTACTGTTAGAGCTTTTGGATGAGTTTCTGGAATCCTTTTGGTAAATTTCAAATAAATAAATAAATCCTACTGGGATTTTTCCTAGAATTATGTTAAGCCTACATTAATCTGGGAGGAATTGGCATTGTGTTAATATTCACCCTTCCTATCCAAGGATATAGTTTGTCTCTTCCATTTTTTTGGTCATCTTTTTATATCTCTCAATAAAGGATTATAGATTTTTTTTACTATAGGCTCCACATATTTAAGTTTATTGCTCAGCATTTGATATTTTTTGTAGGATTGCAAATGGGACCTCTTTTTTATTCTATCTGATAACTATTTCCTATTGGAATACAGATCCCATTACTAAATTATTCTATCCATTTTAAGTTTAGTTGATTCCTTTAGGTTTTCTAGGCTAATAACAAACTCCCTGGAAATAATGGGTTAGAGCCCATGGTTTGGTAATGCCTCCAGTCTTCAGGGCTTATTTGTGACTTTCTCCAGCAGTACTCAGAAGCCTGGTCATAAGGGTGGACAAGGTAGATGAGTGGGTTGATCCCAAGTTCAGGGTTTTCCTGGGCTAGGGCAGTAGAAGGGCAAGGGGCAGGGGGTTCAAGGAGTTCATGAGAGAATAGCTGAAGTGACATAATTCCAGGACTAGACTGAGAGGGGCTCATGGACTGAGCAGATGGGGGGGATGTCACTGGTCGGACAGACTAGAGGGAGGGAGAGGGTTGGAAGGAGAGGAAGTTGTGGCCCTGTAATGGACACTGAGATGTCATGTTTCAAAGCTGATGCCTTTCCAGTACTATTCTGAGGTCTCTCAGGGAAGAATGATCTCATTTTGCAGTTGAAGAAATGGCAGCTCAGGGGCCGGCCCCGTGGCCAAGTGGTTAGGTTCACACACTTGGCTTCAGCAGCCCAGGGTTTTGCTGGTTCAGATCCTGGGCGTGGACATGGCCCTGCTCATCAGGCCATGCTGAGGTGGCGTCCAACATAGCACGACCAGAGGCGCTCACAACTAGAATATACAACTATATGCCGGGGGGCTTTGGAGAGAAGAAGAAGGAAAAAAAATAAAAGATTGGTAACAGATGTTAGCTCAGGTGCCAATCTTTAAAAAAAAAACAGAAAAGAAATGGCAGCTCAGAGAGCTTGTCGCTTACCCAAAGTCACCCAACACCTAGTGGCAGAACTGGGATTTGAGTATTCTTCTGCTGTGCCATACCAGCTCACATTCTGTCTTTATTTTTCAGGGTCACTTTAGAACAGTTGACTGAGAGAGCAAGAAGACAACAGAAAGGAAAGGAGGCGAGCCCAGCAGAGCAGATACTAGAGAGAGGGCAGGCTCCTCCAGGGCCCCTCAGTAGCTGCGAAGGGGAGGGGGGACAGCTGGGCTGTTAGGTCTTCCTGTTGGCCCAAGAACCCCCTCAGGCCAGAGCACCACACCCCAGCATCCTACACCATGCCCTGCCCTGCAGCTCACTTTGTATCCTCCATTTCACACTGTGGCATCACTACACGCTCACTCTTCTCCACCACATACCCTTGTCTCTGTCACATACCTTGTGTCTCCACCACACACCGAGTCCTCTCTCTACCAGCCGTGTTTATTCCACATGCCCCAGCTTCCCCAAGATACACCTCATGCCCCCGCCTTGTTTCTCATTGGCCTGTACACACTTTGGGTCCCTGCCACTCACCCAGTCCCATTGCAAGTGTGTGCCCAGCTCATGCCCACTTATGCTGTCTACAGAGTGCATTGGATGGCTTCTGGAAATCTGTGGCCACTCGAGTGCCCAAGGAGCCCCCTGAGATTCGCATTCTCAACCCGTATTTCATCCAGGAGGCTGCCTTCAACCTCATCGGACTGCCCTTCAACAATGGCCTCATGGGCCGGGGGGTGAGATAGCTGGGTCCTGGGAGAGGGAAGAGGACAAGTGGGTCAGAGGTGCCTTGGGAGGGAACAACTGGGTGGCAGGGCAATAACAGAGGGCTCAGTCCTCAGGAATGGAGCTTGGCTCTGGGGAGCTTGGCTGAGGGTCTCAGCCTAACTCAGCCTTCCAGCTGAACTCTGCACCTCCTTCCTTTCCTCCTCCAGAACATCCCGACCCTTGGCAGTGTGGCAGTGACCATGGCACTACACGGCTGTGATGAGGTGGCAGTTGCAGGTTTTGGCTACGACATGAGCACGCCCAACGCACCCCTGCACTACTATGAGACTGTGCGCATGGCCGCCATCAAAGAGGTGTGGAGCTGGGCATGGGGCAGTCCCTGGGCAGGGCTGAGGGAGGAGATACTTCCAGCACAAAGGACAGACTCTGACTGCGTGTGCACAAATGAACGATGAAAGGATGAGCCAGTGGCTGATCTGGCTGCCCAGAGCTCCCAGGAAGGCTCTGCCCCACCCTCAGCTAAGTTGGGTCACCAGATGTACATCCCTGCCTGCAGGCCTCTAACCACCAAGCATCCTCTGTGCCCCTCTTCCCAGCCTCCCTGTGAGCCCAGCACCCTCTCCCTCAGCCTCCTCCCTGAACTTTCCCTCCCTGGCCCTCTCCTTGCCCTGGCCCTGCACCTGCCCTCCTGGCTGTTCCCCAGCCATCATCTGTTCATCTTGGCACCAGCTCAGAGCCATCCTCTTGACTGCAATTTCTCCCTTCCCCTACAGGACTTCTTTACCCCCTCAAACAACCCACAGACATTGCCTCTCAGTCCCAGGACGCCCCCTGTTCCTCTTCCCCTTTTCCATGGCCAAGCACTAAAGTTCTTTATCACATAGAATTGCTTCCTAGATGAGCCATATGTTCATGTACCTTAGAGTTCAAGAAGCATTGAAGTTCTCCCAGCCTGTCAGTCAGCCTCTCCTCGCATCTCTCCCTTCACAGCAAGATTTTCCATGTAGAAAATCTGAACCCCTCTTAGAACACCCTTCACTTCCACCACTAGCCTTCCACTGATCCCAGCCTGGAACCCGGACATCTTGGGCCAGTGCTCTGAGCAGCTTCTCTCCTCCTCCATCTGGGTGGTGGGGGTTGTTGGAGGAAATTTCCCATCTGTGCAGATTCATGGTTCTATAAATGTAGGAGTCCTAATTTCAGCTAGCCCTCATCCCTGCTCATCAGTCTTTTTACTTGCCCTTCTCCAACCCCCACCACACTGTTCCAGAACCTTATGTTCCCCGAAAGCTCCCATCCACCCTTCCTCCTCCAGTGAGGAAACTGAAGCCACAGTGGGGACTCTGTCCCCTGTGCATTCCTCACTCCTGCTGGGCTCTTTGCCCCTCGCAGCCTGGCTTCCCCCTTCACCAGGCATGACTCCCACCAAGGTCACCAGTGACTTACCTCAAGGCTGCCAAATCCAGTGAAGAAATGTAAGTCTCATCTTTCCTAGTATCTCAGAAACGCTTTTTATATTGACCACGCCTTCCTCTTTGAAACTCTCTCCTGCTTAGACTTCTGAGCCAGTAATTTCTAGTGTTCCTCTTATTTTACTTGCCGGTCTTTCTCATTCTCTTTTTCAGTGTCGTTGATTTCAATCCACCCCTTAAGAATCAGCATTAGCTAGGGCTCCATCTTAGATAATTTTCTCTTCTCACTTAGCTCTTCTCGGGGAGATGTACATCCCCACCCATGGCTTCAGTTACCGTCTCTCTTGTTTCATGTTTTTCTGGCTCATTCAGGCTACCTCAAGTTATTGGGCATTATTTCACAGATATAAGAGAGACTTGGAAATCTTATGGGAAAGCAGAAACAGCCTTACAGCTGGGCCTCCTGTTGCCTGGAATGGGGTTTGGTAGTGAGACGCCCATCCTGGGTCCAGGACAGCTCCAGAGCTGTCTTATCCCCCTCAGCAGTGGCTCCAGCCCTGCCTCATTATTACCATGACCCTGTGGATCTTTCACCTCTGCCTCTCTTCATGCATCTTCTTTGTCCCCAGCCAGCACCCCCTCCAAACTGCTCTCACAACTTTTACCCGCCTCTTGGCTTCTGTTTACTTATATCTTTGGTCTCTTACATATTCCTGTTATGTAAACCTTATCTAAAAGTTTTAGACAGAAGGTGAGAGACCGTAGACATAGGCAGTAGCCAGATCATGAAAGGCTTTCTCTGCCCTAGTAAGGAGTTTGGACTTTGCTCTGAAGGCAGGAGGGAGCCATGGAAGAATTTTAGGCTGGAGATTAGCATTTAGGAGGGTCACGGTGGTCACAGCATGAACTAGAGGAGTGCAAGGCAGGAATAGAAACTGGCTGGGCGGCTGTCAGAGCAGTTTAGGCAAGAGGCAAAGACTCTTGAACTGAACCGTTCAGTGACGACGAGAAGAGAGAGGTAAGAAACAGGATTTTAAATCAGCAAGGCTAATGCCTTAATGCAGGCATGAGGTAGAAGGACAGCACCTTCCCTGAAGCCCTGTGGTGGAGGCTGTCCTTTCTTCCACATGCCGTCTCTCAGTTTTCAGGCCATTGCCCCCCATCCTGTAGAGCCGTCTGACTGTGAGGCTCACGGCATCCGCTGCACCCCCTCCATGCAGCATGCTGAAGAGCACAGGCTACGAAATCAAAGGCCTGAGCTCAGAGCCCGCTGTACCTTCCTGCCTTTATCAATAAAAGGGGTAAGGAGAGCACATACCTCCTAGATTTGGGAAAGATTAGATGTAATAATGTGTGAAAAAGGCCTGGCACCTAGTAAGCACTCATAAATGTAGCCATTATTATTAATGTTAATGTTTTTACCTCTACTTATTACTATTAGCTTCCCACCTTTTGGATGAGGATTCACTGAAAATGCTGGTGTCTGGGTTTGGGATCCCTGTTGTCACCTGAGGTTGTCTTCAGTAGTCAAGTGAACCATTCAGCGCTCTGGCCTCACCATTGCTTCACCTCCACTCAACTGATGAGCCCATTCTCCAGGCCTAGTGGGAGTATGTGGGATGTGAAGACACATGAAACAAGGATGGAATGCTGGGGGATATGTAAGGGATGTCAAAGGAATTCATAAAGGAGACAGAAAGTAGAGGAGAATTAGGAAGATGGGTCATGGGGACCAAAGGAGCAGCATTGCAAAGAGAGTGTCTACAATGTCCAGTGCTGCAGAGAAGTAAAGTAAGATGAGTCCTGGGAGATGGCCATCGGATGTACCAGTTAGGAGGTCCCCACTGACTGCAGTGAGAGCAGTTTCAAAAGAGTGGTGGCACAGGAGCCCAAGTCAGGAGCTGAACAGTGAGCAAAGGCGAGACAGAGCACAAGTGTGGCGCATAGTTAGTGCTCTTTTGGGGAGGCCTGGATGAGAAGGGGAGGAGAGGCCCTGAGTAGTAGCTGGAGGATGAAGTGGGTTCATACAGGAATCTGCCACAGCAGAGAAATCTGGGCTGGAAATGTAGAGTTGTGAGTTCTGAGCACAACCACTTGTTCAGAGACAGGCAGGCGCAGATTAGATTTCCCAGGGAGACAGTAGAGTAGGAGGTGCAGATCATTGGGCCGGGACCCTAGGTGCACCAATATTTCATGACTGGGCGACAGAAAAGAAGCCAGAGATAAAGATAGAAAAAGAGCTGTGAGAAGGAAGGCTCCTCTGAGCGTGTGGACTGTGAATGGGATGGACGTCTGCATCCAGAATCAGGGATGCTAGGGACCTGGGACTAGCAGAGTCCTGCCCCAGCCCACAGACAGTGTAGACAGTGTTGTGCAGAGACCTCTAGTAGGCTCCTGTGCTGTCTGCATGGAAGGAGGAATTAGGAAGAGAGCACCAGAGAGGTGGCACTGTCTGGTCTGAGAGCGCTACGCCTCAAAGCAGACTTTTTGTGTGCTCCTGTATTGTGAACATTGTGAAACATATTCATAAGTGTAGAGAAGAATAAAATGAACTCCACATACCTGTCCCCCCTCCCACCATTATCAACACACAGCCAGTGTTGTTTCATCTCTTCCTCTCATGCTCCCTCCACACTGACTATTTGGAAACAAGTCTCAGATATCATATCATTCTAGCCACAAATATTTCAGTAAAGTCTCTCTGAAAGATAAGGACTATTTTTTTATTATCACAATACCATTATCACACTAAAAAATTAACATAATTCCTTAATATCGTCAAATATCCAGTCCTCTGCTGACCTTTCAACCCTCGGTAACTCCCAGTGGGTGTTCTTGAAACTGACCCATCAGATTGGTTACTTCTTCTTCCTGGGGAGTGCTGAAGGGTTAAGATTAAAGTAAAGAGCTGCATGAGTTTCCACATTTGCTTGGATCCTGGCCCTGCCATTCCTCCATGCCTCTGTTTACCTATAATATCTCATTTCATTCAACACATATTGATTGAGCACCTACTCTGGGCCAAACAGTCCCTGCCTTCAAAGGGAAACACCAAGCCAGATGCTTGAATCTTCAAGGAAGGAGGGTGAATTACCCAGGGGTCTGCAACAAGGAGGGCCAGTTGGCAGACGGCAGACGGCAGAGTGTAATGACAGGAGCCTGAAAGGAGCCAGAGGTTTGAGGGAGTATGGAGGGACAGCTGTGTGGACGCAGCAATAAAGGGTGAGGAGGACCCTGCCCACCTCCAGGCTCGGTGGAGTGCGGATGTGGGGGAAGAGTCGCCACTGAGAGTGTGTCTGTCGGACGCAGTCCTTAGGGGCAGTCAGGATTGTGGTTAGCATGAGGAATGTTCAGAGAAGAGGAACATAGGGAATTTTGCCTGAGTTTCAGATTGATAAGATTTGGAAGGTTGGAGAAGGTTGACTAGATCCAAATAAGGACCAGACAGAGCTTTAAGTTCTTAGTACTGGTAAATAGTGGCTGTTAATATCACTGTGCGAGGCTCAGTGCTGACAGATGCAACAGAGTGGTCAGTTGGGTACAAACTATGATAAGGTTGTTGGCTTTCATTCATTCATTCAATTCTTTTTCATTCTTTGAGAGACTTAGTGATCAAAGCTTCCTGGTGAGAGTACTGGGGATAGGAAAGAACCTGAGCCTGGGTACAGTTTTCCCCCAGGGAAGCCCTGGAAGGCAGCATCTTCCCTGTAATTTCCACATTAACAGTAAGATGAGCCTCTTGTTCTCTGGCCCCCTGGCTCCTCTGACCTGAGAGGCAGGATTTCATCAGCTGCCCCCAGGCCTGGAGAGTGGATTGCTTCAGACCGGATAATGACTAAGCCACCATACATGGTTCTCTTTCCAGCAGGGCCCACCCCCCAGACCCGGGTTGGGCCTAAGTGACTCACATTGCCTGTCCTCAAGGTGCCTAGGACCTAGGTGCCCCGGATGTGCTGCCAGACAAGGAAGGGTTGAAGTCCATGGGAACAAGGTTGGAAAGCGTACATCTCCTAAGACTTGGAGGAAGAAGTTAAGAGACATAGTTTTCCTGGGATGGGGAAAGAGATTAGAAGGTTATTTTCTCCAAGTCCAAGGAAAGGAAAAGATGAGCTATGGCATTTCTAGAGCAGATTTTCCACAGTTACAGAACCTTGGAGGGTGCTGGTCAGAAGAAGGCATTGAGCCCTGGGAAGGCACGTTCTAGTGGGGTTGTGTCCCAGCAGCCACCTGGGCTGCCCAACTGATCGCTTCTCCATCTCTTTCCTTCCAGTCCTGGACACACAATATTCAGCGAGAAAAAGACTTTCTGCGGAAGCTGGTGAAAGCGCATGTCATCACTGACTTAACCAGTGGCATCTGAGGTGGGCATGGCCACAGAGGTCCATGCACTGCCAGGAGCAAGCAGCAGCCACCACCACCTGCCCACTTCATTGGCCTCGGTCTGGCTCTGCCTGAGAGGCACAGGAGTCTTCATACCCAGAGAAGGACAGTGCCAAGTGGCCCCAGGGGTGGCGAGGCCTTGGCGGGGCACCCAGAGCTGTGTCTGTTCAGAGGCCAGCCTCAGAGACCAGCACTCAGCCTCAGTCTCAGCCTAGGTCCTTGGAGCCAGAAGGCCGGGAGGCTACTGGCGGTGCCTAGCAGGCCCAGCATGCAGGAGGTGGACATTAGGCAGCAAGACTGCTGCTGGGATCATTTCTCCAATCAGTGTTTGGTGTATTATCATTTTGTGAATTTGGGTTGGGGGGAGGGTAGGGATAATTTATTTTTAAATAAGGTTGGAGATGTCAGTGTGGTCTACTTGCCCTACAGAAAGAGGCCCAGTAGAGGGCCCATCAGGCAGCGGTACCAGTGGGCTCCCTGTAGAGTGGGAGAGCCAGGACTAGCCTGTGCCCCACTCTGAAACTAGCCTGTACCCTGCTCCGGAGCTACAGGGAGATAGATAGGATCTCATGCCAGCCCCCTTCAGCTCACGATGCTGTTTGGCCTTTCTTGGGGAGAAGATGGGATATTCCCATTCACCAGCCCCTAGCTGTCCCACAGGGAAACCTTGGAGCCATCCTTTAAGCCAACAAGACAGCCCCAGGCAACCCTCCCCGCCACCCCCCCACCACCACCACCGCAACTGATCCATAAGACGGTGCCCCAGGCCCAGGCTGACCAGCTTGGCAGCTGTTCTGGGTTTTTTTTTCCTGCTTTTTCTCCCCCAATCCCCCCAGTACATAGCTGTATATTTTAGTTGTGGATCCTTTCAGTTGTGGCGTGTAGGACACTGCCTCAGCGTGGTCTGATGAGCAGTGCCATGTCCGCGCCCAGGATCCGAACCAGTGAAACCCTGGGCTGCCGAAGCGGAGTGCGTGAACTTAACCACTCAGCCACAGCATCGGTCCCTGTTCTGGGTTTTAACAATGAGACTGTCAGGTCCTGGGGTTCTGCCTTTAGCCTGGACCAGAGGGAAGCGAGGCTCAAGGACCTTACCCAGGCTGTGGGCAGCAGTCCTGGGCAGCCACCATGGAAGCAATAAAGTTCTTCCCTGAACCTGGCCTTCTCTTGCTTTCTCTGACTTTCCTGGAGGAAACAGGAACCTGGAGCCTCAGCAACTATGCTAAACCCAAGGGCCATCTCTCCAGCCTATGGATTGCTGGGACCCTTTCAATTCTCATGTCAACTGCAGGACCTGGGTAGCCATCTAGGAGCTTCTGGAGCCTCTCCTGTCCCACACAGTCCTGCACCCTCTTTGCCAACCGTGAGCATCAGGGCACGCCCCAGAGTCTACCCTGGTGCCTCCTAAAGGAGCCAGAGGGCAGGAGATTGAAGCCACAGTCCTAGGACAGCACTTCTGGGTCACTACAGCCTCAGCTCTACAGGGACAGAGGTTCCTGCAAGCACAGGAAAGATACACCACCAAGCCCCCAACACACAGAGGCCCACAAACCTAACCCACTCCTGGCATCTCCAGCTGAGCCCTGGAAAGGACATGCCCCGCCCCACCCTTAACACACAGGCACACCCTGTCCCCCAGACCCCTTCTTCCTGCACAGAACAGGAGGGCACAGCCCAGCTCTAGGCCCCTCTGGTGAACATCAGAAAGGACATCCCCCAACACCTTACCCCCTTAGAATCCTGGAATCTGATCCCTCCCTTCCCCAGCATCCCAGGCAGGCTTGAGAATGGGCAAACACATACCTACACCTGAGACCATGGAGGGAGCTTCCTGCCAGAGCTGCCACTGTGGCAGTCGGTGGGGCTGGCCGGCCCCTCGCCTCTTACCTTCCATCCCAATCCAAGAGTCCAGGCCATCCCAAGGACCACCAACTTCCCATATGGCCCCTACCGCTGTGGTTTGTCCTCAGGCAGAAGCTTCCTCAGCTGAGGGGAAAGCAAGGCCCTAACTGAGGGACAGGCAAACCCAGGGAAGCCAGCCCATCTGGGCAGTGGTTGTAGGAGGTAGCAGAGAGCAGAGCTACTCACCGCTTGGCCTCCTGTCCCAAAGGGGTCCTGTCAAGCCTGTGGACTGCAACCCCCCCCCTCCCCCGCCCCCGCCAAGCACTTCTCTGCAAGCTGGCTTATCCCCATCACTGTGCAGAAACTGCTCTCACAAAAGCTGTGGTTCTCAGCCCTGGCCGTACCCCAGAATCACCTATGCAAGTTTGGAAAACTGCACATGCCCACCCCCAAGACTCTGATTGAGGTCTTGGGTGGGGCCCAGATGTGGGTAGTTTTAAAAGGTCCACAGGTTGTTCTGGTGCATAGTCAGGGCATAGCTGGTCCACCCACGTTCCCTGAGCACTTTCATTCCCACCCACAGCTTCCAGTTGTCAGTTGGTTGACAATTCCCGAATTGCCATCTGCACCCCATTTCGCTCCAGGCTACAAATTCAGCTGCTCCCTGAACATTTCAACTAGGATGATCCACAGATCCTTCCCACTCGACAGGTCCAACACTGAACTCATGAGCACCTGGCCCCAGCCTGCCCCTCCTCCAGGGAGCCCCAGCTGCCAGAATGCATCCCTTCCACCTGGTCACCTAGGCCAACGGCATGCCTCTGTCTGTCCTACCCCTCACCCCAGGCAAGCAGGCACAACTGAATTTTCAAAAAGGTGTGGTCCTGGAAGAGGCTGGGTAGCCCCACACTCTCCCCACAGCTCTGCTTCAGACTTCTCTCTCCCAGCAGCCTCCAGACATATCTCCAAACCATCCCCACCACCGCAGCCAGAGTCAGTCACTGGAACGCATGTCTAATCACACCATTCTACTGCCTGAAACCCTTCAGTGGTCCCCAGAGTTACTGGGATTAAGTCCAGACTCCCTAAGATGACACACAGGATCTGGCCTTTCCTTACCTCTATCCATATTAGTCACCCAACCTCCACCTCACCTGCCAAATTGCTATCATTAGGCATCAGAATACCACTCTCCAGCCCCTACCTCAACCTCAGCGCAAATGTCTCTCCTCCATGACCTCCCCTTCTTCAGCCCTGGGCACCTTCTCCTACCAGCACTGCCCCGCTGTGCCGGGTGAGAGCGGAGTTGCAGGTGTGTCTCTACTCCGCCCCGGCCGCTCGGGAGGGGAGCGGTGGGCGCGGGGGAGCGGCTGGAGCAGGGTTAGCCCTTGAGAGCCCCGGCGCGGTGCGCGCCGACCCAGCGAGTTCCGTGGCTCTGCTGAGAGAACAAACTTGTGGCGGATCAGACAGCGGAGAGCAGTCACCGCAGGGCGGCCAGCCGGACCGGGGACGGCGCGAACCGGACAGCCAGTGGCCCAAGGCAGGGGCCAGCCTGTCCCTCCGTCCCCGCCCTCGCTCTCCCTCTCCCGCCCTCAGCCCGGCCTCTCAACTCCCTACTTCGCGTGTCCACAAACTCTGAACGCCCAGTGTCCGCGCATCGCCGCCGCCGGAGTTCTCCACCCTGCGTCCCGGGGGCCCTTCCCAGCTTCTCCTCCTCCCACCTTGGGGGACCTAGCGGAGCCAGGCGGGGACGGCTCCCCGGCGGGTGGAGCAGCCAGGTGAGCCCAGAAAGGTGGGGCGGGGCGGGAGCGCTCCGGGCCCCACCCCGGGATCCGGTGACGCCGGGGCTGGAATTTGACACCGGACGGCGGCGGGCAGGAGACTGCTGAGGGATGGAGTTGGGCCCGGCCCCCAGACACGGCCCACGGGCTCCACCAGCAGCAGGTCCCTCGGGCCCCAGCCCTCCCTGCGTCCCAGACCCAGGGCCCTGCACCCGCGGTAAGCTGACCTGTTTGCCCACCCCTCGTCCCAGCCCTGGGTTTAGGGGGAGCAGTCAGAATAGTTCCCCTCCACTCTTTTCTTACATCCTCCCTCTCCTGGACCCAATGCGCAGCTCTCCGCCCCTCCCAGCCCCCTCAGTCCTTCTTGTCGCTGGTCCGACTGCGGACGCCCTGCCAGCCCGCTGTAATGTGAGGCTCTCACTGCTGCTACAGGGCACAGACTGGCTGCCAAGGCCACACTTTTGGCTAAAAGGCGCTGCCAGGTGCATAGTCCTGGGCATGAGCCTTTTGAGCTGCGGGGGAAAGCCCGGCACTGGTCCCAGGAAAGGTGCCTAGAAGAACACGGCGCAGGATTCCCGTGGTGAGTATGGGGCTGGCAGATGGGGAGGCAAGGGCTGGAGGACCAAAAGGCCTCAGATGGCTGGGAGGGTAAGAGAGGGCCCGAGGTGCCCTCAAGAGACCCACTCCTGGGCTCCCCCTAGTGCAGGGGGCCCTTAAAGTTGCCTTGCCCTGCTTTCCCTCCATCAGTGAGAGCCTGGCCCCTCAGGGCCCGTTTTCAATTAGCTGATCACACTTGGCCCTGAAGGACCTCACCAGGGACGCCTGGGAGATCCAGCCCACAGGTATGAGGCATTCTGTGTGCTTGGGGGTGGGGGTGAAGGTGACGGCTGGGACCCAAGAGTTGGCCAGTTACTGAGGGCTCATGAGGGCTCTGGGGCCCCGGAGTATTTGGGAGTGCCGGCCAATGTGGACTCATGAAGGCTGGTGGGACTCAGAAAGGCTGGCTGAGCTCAGGAAGCATGGCTCATGGGACGAACTTCTAGGAGCAGGGCCAGGCTGCCAGATCCACAGGAAGCTGGAATGGGACAGACTTGGCCCAGCTCTCAGAGACCAGGCTGGTATGGAGGCCTGGCTGGCCCTCCTGGGAGTTGCTCGGGCCTGAGTCTGGCTGAGTGTCGGGAAAAGCCCACCCTCCTTTGAGTCTGCAGGTTTGGCGGATGCTGCCCCCTGGTGGCCCTAGAGAGCCACGGCCCAGGCCCCCATGCTCTTGACCTATCAGCCCCCACCATTTGTGGTCAGAAGAGAGAACTGAGGGGGCTCTGGGTCCAGATAGGAATCACAGAGGAGCAAGGTGCAGCAGGCTGGGTGGGCTGCACAGGCTGAGGGCCTGGGCCTCACGATCGTCAGACAACTCTCAGGTCACCCAGCAAGCATCCTAATTCTTCTCCAGGCCACAACTTCCTCCTCTGCAGCCTGGAGAGAAGACTGTAGGACGAGGGCGTCCAACTACTCCCTTCTCCAGCCAATCCTGGCAGCTCCAGCCCTGCAGCACAGAGCAGGAAGGTCCTGGGGAAAGAGACTCCCCCCACCTGCTGTGTGGGCCTAGCCTTGGGACCTTAGCAGTCGCTGAGCTTCTCTGAGCCTAGTTTGCTCATCTGGAAAATGGAGATTACACCGTTTACCTCGTGGAGTTGTGAGGACTGAAAGAGGGCACAGATGCAAAGTGCCAAGACATAGTTTCTCCATGCAGCTCCCTCTCGTCCTCCTGGGTCGAGTCTAGCTCCCCAAGCCCCTTGTTCCTCACCTGGGGAAACGGAAGTGGAGGGATGAGCTGCTCAAAGGATAACCCATCTTTCAATGTTCGAAGCTGCCTCAAGAGGAGGGTGGGGAAACAGGTCAACTGCGGCTGATGGGAGCTCTTGGTAGTGACAGAGATGGAACCTGGATGTGGAGGCCCTTCTGTGCCGCCCCACGGGCCTCGGCCTAGGCGGCTGGTGAGTGGTTCTCCCAGGGACTCCCACCCGGTCTCGAGGAAAGGTGGTTTGACTGGGGAGGGAGAGTGGGGCGTGGCGTGGCCTGGCCTGGGCAGGCATCAGAAGTGGGAGGGGAAATGGTCAGGGAGGGACCAGGACAACGGAGGAAGGTCAATGCCCTCCGGTGATTTCTCCCCTGGGCTCTCTGAGGCCGCCGACCCATAATGCTCCAACGTCAGCTCTTCCTGAGCTCCCCCCACCCCGAGCCCACCAGGGTGCCCTCTTCCTCCCTGAGGCCCCACTTTGTCTCTCTGCGCAGCCGGCCTTGTGGCCAACCCTGGCCGCTCTGGCCCTGCTGAGCAGCGTCGCCGAGGCCTCCCTGGGCCCCGCGTCCCGCAGCCCCGCCACCCGCGAAGGCCCCGCGCCCGTCCCGGCGCCCCCAGCCGGCCACCTGCCAGGTAGGTGAGAGGGCGAGGGGCGGGGGCGGGCGGGGGCTGGCCCGGGACCCGGCCCATGACTCCGTCTCATTCCAGGGGGCCGCGCGGCCCGCGTGTGCGGCGGAAGACCCCGGCGGCCGTCGCCGCAGCCGGCCCGGCCCGCGCCCCCGCCGCCCGCGCCCTCGCCCGCGCCCTCCCGCGGGGGCCGCGCGGCGCGTGCCGGGGCCCGGGGCGGCCGCGCGAGCCGGGGGAGCCGCGCGCGGGCCGCGGGGGCGCGGGGCTGCCGCCTGCGCTCGCAGCTGGTGCCGGTGCGCGCGCTCGGCCTGGGCCACCGCTCCGACGAGCTGGTGCGCTTCCGCTTCTGCAGCGGCTCCTGCCGCCGCGCGCGCTCCCCGCACGACCTCAGCCTGGCCAGCCTGCTGGGCGCCGGGGCCCTGCGGCCGCCCCCAGGCTCCCGGCCCGTCAGCCAGCCCTGCTGCCGACCCACGCGCTACGAGGCGGTCTCCTTCATGGACGTCAACAGCACCTGGAGGACCGTGGAGCGCCTGTCAGCCACCGCCTGCGGCTGCCTGGGCTGAGCGCTCCCTACCGGGGTTTGCCGACTGCACCCCTACCCCTGGATCTGCCTGCCTGGGCCCTCCCGCAGGACCCCGCGAGCCAGGGGCCTCAACCGGAGATGAGTGATGGACATCAACCCTCGAGAGATGGAGGGACGACTGACCAGTGGCCCCAGGGTCCTCACCCTGCCAGTCCCAGCCCTACAGACACCAGAGACCTCAGCCGTGGAGACCTTAGGACCCACTTCTACAGACTCTGGCACTGACCAGGCCACGGACCCAGGACTCCTCTGGAGAACCCAGCAGTGTCTGAGGTCTCAGCCTCAGTCCAGGCCCTGGGGGAACAAAATTCGGAGGAGACGTATTGCAGTTGCATTGCTGAAGGGCCTATGCTAGAGCGGGCCTTGTACTTACCGGTGGGAGCTGGACCCCTATTTATTTTTTCTAAATTATTTATTTACTTCTGTGGTTTGTCGGCTCCTTTCCTGCGCAGTGGGGGCTGGATGGGGAGAAGAAGCTGGATAGAGATCATGCCCTGACCGTGCCACTCGACTTCAGGCTGACTCTGCAATCACAGGCCTGGCGTTGATCTCCAACTGCTTGCCCCCACCCAGCCGCTCTGGGACATGGGGGACATGGAACACAGGGAGAGTGAGTGGCAAAGGTGTGTTCACCAGTCTCAGCAGCCCAGCTCTCCACCCCCTGCACAGTCCCCAGCGCTTGGAGCCTGGGGTTACCAGTGGAGAAAGCACTATCCTTGCGACCTCAGGCATCCTGGGAGCTTTGCTTAATGGGTAAAGACACAGAGAACCACACAATGCCCCACCCCACTGTCACTGATCAGTGTGCCACCCTCTAGGGACCCTGACAGGTGCATACACTGCCTATGCTTGTAGATGGTCCAGCATGGGGAGCTCACTACCCACATTCCATGAAGCAGCCCAGGGCAAGAGAGCATCTGAAAAGGCTGAGGGTGGGCAAGAGGGTGCAATGGGAGGTTGATTTAGGGGGATGAAGCATGGAGCATCATGGCGACAAGAAGGCAGGAAAGGACTGAAGGTCCCAGAGGGACCTGCATCTTGGGTGATGAACAAGGATATTCATTTATTCATTCAACAAATATTATTAAGTACCTATCATATGCCAGATGCTCGGTAGACAGACACCAGGGATACAGAAGTGAAAGGGACAAGATCTCTGCCCTTAAGCTTAGACTAGTAGAGACAGACAATAAATAAACAATTACGTAAATCATTATTTAAATTCAATTTGGCAAATAGGATGAAAAAGGACAAGAAGCTAAGAGGTACACACCTTCATCAGGAAGGAAATAGGGGTTAGTGCCAGCCCTAGCCTTCCACACTGTCCCAGAGTCATGTCCAAAAAGTCAGTGCAATCCCTCTGAGCTGTTCTGCGTGTCCTGTGAAACCTTGTTTCCTGGGCCCGATGAATTTGTCCTATATTGTCTTCTTTGGCAATAAGAGGGGGACATGTGTTTGGAAAGGACGCTGAGTCTGAGGAAGCACAGGACACCCAGAGCGGCTGTCGGGAGGCAGTGGGCTATGCGAGTCTGGAGCCAAGGAGGGAGGTCTGGGCTGGAGGTGGATTCGGCAGCTGTGAGCACAGGGCCAGGAGCTGCAGCCAGGGTGTATGAGAGCACCCCAAGTGAGGCAGGCGGAGGGGGGTCCCTCGGGCACTGGACACTACTGACTGCAATGCCCTCCACACTGCCTAGGGGCCTGCCTGCTCCGGCACAGATGCCCCCTTCACCCAGGCGAGAGTGAGGAGCTGGCAAGAGGTGTCTGATGGCCATGTGCCTTCTTGGTCAAGGAGGGGCAACGAGCCTGTGCTCCCTCTCTTCTGTGTTCACTGCTCCAGTTCCAGGTGCTCCCCAAACTTTGGTGCTCTCCTGGTGCCCTCAAACACCCCCTTACCCGTCTCTGCCTCCAAACTGATTCAGGATCCTCAGTCTTCAACCACCCAACCCCCACCAAGAAAATCGCACCAGTGCCATGCAGTTTGCAGACACCTCACAAAGGCCTGGCCCTGGTCCTGGCTAAGGGTGGACATCCTGTCAATTCCGGTGTCACTGGGCCCAGGGAGCCCCTGCTGGAAAGACTTGAAAGTCTGACCTAGTGCCCAAACCCTGTAGGGCCTGCCCCTCAGTGGACTTCTCTGCTCTCAGAGCCACTTAAAGGAGACAGATTAAGGCCCTCTCTGACAATGCTCACAGCGAGAGAGCCAGGTCAGAGCCGGAGCCAAAGGTGCTGGCTCTCAACACTCCCCAACTGCCAGGTCTTGAGGGAGTCAGGTCTGCCCCCAACTTAAGGCTGCATTCTGGGCCCCAGAGACATTGTGCCCAACATCTCACAAAGTCCCAGATGAAACAGCAACTTCTCCAAGAGGAACACATTTCCACAAGAACTGGCCTCAGTTTGCAGCTCACAAAAACCCAAATCCCTCTTTAAAATAATAAATAAGTAGAGCGAGCCCTGATGGCCTAGTGGTTAAAGTTCTGTGCTCACCGCTTCGGTGGTTGGGGTTCACTTCCAGGTCATGGAACCACACCACCCATCTGTCAGTTGCCATGCTGTGGCAGTGGCCCACATAGACGAACTAGAATGACTTACATCTAGGATACACAACCATGCACTGGGGCTTTGGGGAGGAAAAAAAAAAGAGGAAGATTGGCAACAGATGTTAGCTCAGGGTGAATCCTTCCCTGAAAAAAAAAAAAAAAAAGATAAGTTTTTTAGAAAAAATGTATAGATAATAATAAATAAGTAAAGCTATTTTCCCCAAAGGAAACAAGCTATGGAGCTGCACATCTCTGCCTACAATTCAGCAGAGGTCACCTTGCATGTGACCTCACCAGGCAGAGTGCTTTAACTCCCGGGGCCACAGGTGGCTGTGGTATCTCGATTTTTGACTGCCGTCTTTGTTTCACATTCGCAAAACTACATTGCCCATTTGAGTGGTCTCCTGGGAACTACAGTACGGTCTCCCCTAAAGGGGTATCAGGTCACCACCTCTGGCAAGACAGAAAACTACAGGGGGCTTTGAAATGACAGTTTTTTCAGCTTCAGGGAGCACCCAAAACTTCCCTCTAGATTCATTGCAGTCAGGAATCAAGGCTCAGGGTTCCACGTGCTCCCCCTGCCCTTGCCAATGGCTTTCCTCCCCTCTTGTCCAGGGACTGCCATATTCCCCTGGCTACAGACCCCTGCGACACAGAGTGTGTGGGCCAACCGACTAGCTAAGGTCTCATCTTGAAATGGAGAGGTTGGGTAGAAAGCAGAGAGATCAGAGAAAAGATCTAGGCGAATCTGTGCCATGTGCGATCACCTTTCTTGTTCACAGGAGTGGTTCTTAACCTGCTTCGGAGTTTGACAGTCCTCAAGAGAACCTGATAAAAGCCAAAGAGCTTCTCCCCCAACAAAATGCTGAAAAAACCACTGATGTGTAAATCTGGTAAACAGGTGGTCCACAGACTTTCTGAAGCTCATTCAGAGAGTCCTTAGGAGTCCATGGCCCTCGAGGTGTGATGCCCTACTCTACATACTATTATAAATGTCCTCCTCTGGCTCCATTAATCCTTCCACCTGTACTCAGGACCCCATATCAGGGCTCTCTGTTCAATTAGGTACAAGCCTCCCCATTCTTCAACTTTTATTCTCTTGAATTCCTCCTTTCCCTCCACATTTAAACTTGCTCAAATATATCACAAATACAAATATCTATATTGTCTGCTTCCACCTCTCCTCCTTCACTAAAGAGCTCTTGCTGAGTCACCACGGGCCTCAACATTACTAACCTCAAAGGCTACTGCTCAGCCTTTAGTCCTTTGAACTCTCAGAAGCGCTCAACTTTGTCAGCCCTCCTTGAAAACTTGTCCTCTCAATCCCATACTCTCCTGGTTTTTCTTCCACCCCTCTGCTCATTCTCAGACCATTTCGGGGTTCCTTTTCTCTCTCTGCCTCTTAAGTGTTCCTCGTGGCCTGATACAGGCCTTCCTCTCTTCCCATTATACTCTCTCCTGGAGCAACACTGTCTCCTCCATGCCAATGATGCTCACATTGTATCTCCAGCCCAGACCTTTCTCCTGAGCTCCCAGCCTGTATTTCCAATACTTCTATCTGCATAGCCTCAAACTTAACATATCTGTCCCCGATATCTTCTGCTCACTCCTTCAGATCCACTCTCGGCCCTGCTCTACCTCTCTCTGAGCCTCATATCAATGGGCTTCCCTGCTCTCCAGCCTCTAAATCTCCTCAGGGTTCCCTCCTCACTGAATGGCAGCAACCTCCATCCAGTGACACAAGCCAGAAACTTGGGCAACATCCTAGACTCCTTGAGCTTCATCACTTTCCTTACCCACTGGTCCTCAGCTCCTTAGATCTTGCAAGTCCATCCTCATTTCTCTATTCCCAGTGCTCGTCTGTTTAAGCCTGCATGATTTTTGGGATGGTTTATAGTTAATCCTCCTAACTGGCCTCTTTGTCTCCAGTCTTAGCTCCCTCCAGTCATTCTCAACCCTGAAGCCAGAGAAGTCACCATTCTCTTAACATTAATTGAGCACTAACGATGTTGAAATGGGCTAGTTTCAGGGATTCAGAGGTCAGCCAGAAACATGTTCTGCCATTAGGGAGACCACAGGTGGAGGTAGAGGTGGGGGAAGGGTTGCCAGGTTTAGCAAATAAAAATACAGGACGTCCAGTCATATTTGAATTTTGGATAATAAATACTTTTTTTTTTAAGTAAGAATGCCTCATCCAATAAATGGGATGTACTTATACGAAAAAAATTTTTGTTGTTTATGTGATATTCAAATAGTTATAACTGGGTGTCCTGTATTTTTCTCTGGTAACCCTGGGTGGGGGGAGGTAAACCAAAAATTTCAATCAACCAGCCTAAGTCCCCAACAGAAGTGTGACTGGGGTACAGTGATGTATGTCAAGGTAGGGGAGGATTCTATACTCACAAAAGGAATCAGTTCTACCCGGATGGAAGGGGAAGAAGAGCCAGGAATGTCTTTGTGGAGAAGATGGCACTTGAACTGAGCCTTGAGAAATGGAATATTTGCACAAGGTGGATGAAGGGCACTGGGCCTGTACCGGTTGTCCTTTATTGCCTTCATTGCCTCTCAGCTCCAAATTCACCCTTGTCATGGCACATGCCCTCTCCAGCAACGTCTGGGCCTCAGCCTTGGATAGGGGTCAGGGAGCGCCTCTTCCTTGGGCTCCCTCTCAGCCCTAGGTCTCTGCTACTCCTGTATTCTTTAGAGTTCTCTTCACTTCTTACTAGCCAGTCCCTCATTACTTCCATCCCCGTTACAGTTTAAAATTCTTATATTCAGCTGCCCCTGTGTGCTCACTGTGTGGTTTCTCCTGATTGGCCCCAGCCTGACACAGAGCCTTCTCAGCAGAGGCAGTAGCACGAACAAAGGCAGGGATGTGGGAACAGC